TACTTACTGTTGCAAATAGAAACAGACAAGATGTGATTATTTCAAAATTATATTATTTTAAAACCATAATGTGATTACACTGCGCTTGTTAATATACATTGACTAACATTTTTAGACAATATATGAACAAAATACAGATACCTTATCGATATAGTTAGTTATTAATTTATAACAATGTTTTTCTTCAAAAAAGGCTATCGGCTTTATAGCTAAGGACGTTCGGACGAGGCAGACGTTACCCTTGCTTTAAGCAATAAACCAAGTCTGATGGCGTCACGGTGCTTTAAAAATAATGTTTTTGATTTGTTTATCAGCAATAAACTGATGTTAAATTCAATAAACAGATTTTTAATTCGAAATTAAGCTTCAGTGGTTGTTTTAAAATCAAAATATGTCGAACTTTTTTTGTTTTGATTTTATTCCGATAAGTGGCTGTCCTGTGTTAAGCCGAGCAACTCAAAAAAAGTCTTAAAACGAGTTTCGAATTTTAGCATAACATGTCAAGCTCCAAGGTGTCCTCGCTCGATTTTTATTACGAAACCATTCATTTTAATATGTTTATCAACACATAAAAACAAATGCCAACTAGAATAACAATAATATCGGCAATCGAGTTTTGAAATTCGGAGTTGAATGCAATATTGAATTGAAATTAACTTAATGAAATGCAATTAATTTAGCATTTTATCGGAGTTCGAATTAATTGAGTTACAAAAATATTCTAATTAAAGTAACTAAGTAAACGTTTTCGTGTTTTTCTGGACCTAGTATTGGCACTAAATACATTGACATTTTGTAATGTAATGCCACTTTGGTCACCGTATAAAAGTCGTTAAACCATCAATCGAATGGTTTATTACGAGTAACTTATTCAGTTACCGAACGTCTTGCAAAATTTGCGTGATGAAACTCCATACATTTTGTTCCGCCGACGCGGAGACTTGCTTGTCAACAATTTAGGACGAACAGTTTATTTTACAGTAAACAGGAATTTAACGTTTATTTACCATGTATAAACTAAGTTTATTTGAAATGAATACTTGGCACATTGAGCATTGCAAATCGGAGCCATGCATCGCCATCAAAATGTAATAAAATTCGACAATGTACCAATTTGATGAGAGCTCCGAAAGTCGTTAAGTTTTTACATGAAAAATTTCTTAATGAACAAAAACTAAGTTCGGTCCTTGATTACGCAAACCGCTCGTTTTTATGATTGATGATCTCAAGTTCGATGTGCTCGAAAATTCTTAATATACGTAATACACCAGTATACGTATAGATATAGACTAACTTTAGCAGAACAGTTATAACTATTAAGTTTGTGTCTTAAACAAATAACTACAGTTTGTGGCATGTTACTGTTTGAAACTGTCGAGAGCACAAACTTTGCCAGCTTTTCACATTTCATGTTTTTGCAGATGAATTAACAATTCCTCATGTTTGAATTATAGTTGTGGCCATTATTTAGTGAGCATGCTTGACCGAACAAAACATACATATTAAGAAAAGTAAACAAGCAATCCATCATCAAAACGGTCCAACGACATCAACCTTGGCAGTACAATAGGCCTTAAGACTAGTCCATTTCCTGACGACATTTCCTTTTCCGTACGATTCTAGATTCGTTGTAGTTAAAGGCAGGAAATATAAAGTTAAGATTACGATAACCTACGAGCTATAAAAACATACTAAGGTATGTATTTGATATAACTTCTATTAACTAACTACCTGTTGGCTCGATCTAACTATCAATTGAACTGGAGTAATGTACTTAGAATGGGTATTAAATAAACCGTTATCGACTACTAAACTTATTAATTTCTTCCTTTTAAAATCACATTATAATGTTATTGTTTTATTGTAGGTAAATAGAAAAGAGAAGACAAAGGAGAACTGAAATCAATTCATATATTTCTTCCTACTTAACATAATCATTTTACTGAGCTGAATATCGAATATCTAACTATAAGTACAATACGCAATAGCGTTTATAAATATACTACCTAATGAGGTAGCAACAGTACCGGGCAAACTGTTGACTAAAAGACGCAGCCTAGCAAAAATAGGTTCGACGACAGACGCCACTTTCTCGTACGACCTCAAAAACTTTTAACGTCAATATAAATTAGCGTTAAACATTATTATCTAGCTAGGTACACTTTAATTGGGTTAAACAAACGTAGCTCAACTGCTCAATTAATTATTTCAATAGCTAACTATTAAGAAAGTGGCTTATAATGAAATTACGTACGTACTCGTTTTTTTCATGGAATTAATTATTTGATAAGAACATTCGAACTTGGCTTACTCTACATTTCAAAATTCCGAATGACGAAATAGTGTCGTTTGATTAGAGTGTGCCTCGCAGATGTCACGTCTCTGCCTGTGTTTGTCTAACTCATTTAGTGAAAAGTTAGTTTAAATTAGCAAGTTTTATATTTAGAATTCATCTTTCGAATAGTAGTACACAATACTTTACAATCTTGAAATCAATAACACTTGTTTTGAGTGTATTATAATACAAGTCTAGTTAGTTATATTTCAAGATTGATTCTCGTCAAAACCATTGCAGAATGCAGACAGTAAATACCTATTATTTACATAAATTATTAAATAACTTTATTATTCTCCGACTTTTTCATAAAAGTACACAAAGTAGGTACCCATTTTATATGCTTGTTTTCAATGAAACTGATACTAATTGAATCAATAATTAATTTATAAGGGGTATTGACATATTCAGTCTGAAACCTACACACTTGAAAAGTACAGAACCAAGAATGTATTAAATAAACATTACTCACTTTATCACTGTATTGTAGGTACTATTACAATGAAAAATATGTATGCCCTAAGTCTCAAGAAATTCCATGCATCAGGCGAATCAATATATCAACAAATGATGTCAGTATCAGAAATATGTACTTCACTTAAGGGTGCCAGTTGTGCAAATATAATGTACTGGGCACAGCCGAGACTTATAACTATTAAAATAAAAATACACATATTTCATTTGAAACAAAGCTTCAGTTATACCTCTATATTCAATTTACACAGTAATGCATATTCATTGGATTCAAGTCAATTGTTTAGTTTTGGAAAAACCAAAGAAAACATAACCAACTTTTGTTGTTTTTAACTTGAGCAAATATTTGCTGTGAGTCAAAAACTTCAGCTTCTGACTTTTGGATTGGAAAAAGAAAGGATATGACAATTTTATGCCTGTTTAATGAGGAACTTAAAATAACAATAAATTATTTATTGCAATGGTTGAACAACTCAAATGAATCCATTCTAAAGCAAAATCAATTAATTCACTTCTAACAGGGATTATCCAACAAAAAGTTACAATACAATTGTCGATTAAAATTTGTTTAGTGGCACATCAGTTTCAAGGCCATTACCAAGGTCAGCCTTCAATCCCCATGTTGCTAACACACATAAACATTGTCCAGTTTGTGAATACATATTCAAGTCACAAACTAACACTTATTGAATAACAATGAGGTACTTAATTTGTGCAGATTTGATAGTGGCATCATATTTGTGAGCAACTGTCATGAACTTTTGAAATGGATGTTTGGCAGTGCTTTGCATTCTTCGCACTTAACATGAAATAACAATCAACTAACAGAATGTCCTTCAACAAGAATACATGTTTATTTATAGTAGAGAGGTTGAAATAAATTAATTCAATGTGTGAAGCAATTTCTTTACATCTAAACTTAGGAATGCCATGTAAAGTTTGAATATTTAATGAAATTATTTGTGTAACCGATATTATAATTTCTACATTCTAATGGGTTTCAACAAGATTTCTAGCAATTTCTTTAAGCTGTACAGAATACTAATGCACATATTTATTATGTATGTATAGAATAAATAAAACATTGAAAGTTTTTCTCATACTAATAAATTAAATGGAATTAATATTGTCAGACTGACAGTATTAATGTATCAACATGACAGAAATATTATTGCTATGCACAGTTATAAGTGTTGACTACATGCTTGGGGCAGATATTTAGATGTCAAATAAATTACTATAAAGGGCCATTAATATTTGGGCACGGTGCCAACATTGTCGGTGAAATGGTAAGGTAACAAAAGGTGCCAAATAGAATGGCATTAATTGAAGATATTTGCGGCATAATTTAGGATGCACCTTACTTTCTTTGTTTACATTGTATTGTGAGGCATAGTGCCAAAAGATTTAAGTAATTTTTTAGATTATTATTTTAACCATTATCAGGATAATTTCTCATTACTAATGATAATTCTATATAATAAATACAAAATTATTAATGGAATGAATACCTAATTTGTTTACATTTATGCTGCACTTGGTAATTACATCATTTGTTGATTCATGTTTGGTTTTATTTATTAGAAAATATCTAATTATGTGTGTAAAGGGGAATTTTCTGCATTTAATTCAGAAATAAATAAGTATAGTGTGATCGAATTCATTCTGTTTATAATAGCAATCAAAGCAATCAGGATTTTGCTTATTAGATAAGGACAATTTGTTCCAATATGATTTATATTCATGGAATAGGTAAATAATATACACATTGGTAAATGAATTGTACAATACAATTTTCTATACACTTAATTATTGAGAAAATTAAAGAGCATTTCTTATTATGAAAAGATTGTTCAAAGTGTCTAGTCTTCTAATTTATTCCTAGTAACAGCTGGTTGAGTTTTAGTTATTTTTTGTGTAATAGACAAGAAACTTGTTAAGATATTTTTTTTTTTGTTGAAGTAGTATATAGATTATGGAATCAGGTTGTCTAGTGGTTTTATTTCGATTGAGTTTTTGTTTCATGTATTTTAATTCAACTCAGTATCTTGATATTAAGTAAGTATGTGAAATTGATAAAACTTTGTACATAGAGAATCTTTTGGAAAAGTTTTGCATACCTTACATGTAAAACTTGTAAACAAATAAAGAATGCTTATTGTTGTGGTGAATGCATTAATAAAGGACTTACTTTGAAAACTTCAGAGAAGAATCCGGCGCCAATCTTCTCGAGTATGAAGTCGTCGAAGGGATAGAGCGCGGCCACAGCAGTCCGCAGGGCCGTGCATGACGAGCCTGTCACCCTGCGGTCACCCAGTCTCTCACAATCCTCACTGACACCTGACTCCTTATCACAATCATCATCACAACACACCGCACGTTTAGTCCGGCTCCCGGTCTCCCCATCACGGTACCTGCGCCCCAACTTAGAGTGAGGGCCCCGCACATAACGACCTGACTTCGCCGTCTCATCCAAGTTCGTGAAGCTCTCAGCTATCTTCAGCACCTTGCTGGGCTTCCGCCGCTCGTACCTGCTCCTGCCACCCTCCTGCGTACACTCGTGTTGCATTATAGCTGATCGTGCTATAATCGAGTACGCTTATCCTGCTTCGAACATAGTGTTCCCGATCAAGTGTCCTCCACTACACAAGAACTATGCCTTACGCGTAACATCTTCTTTATAAACGCCGATACACTAACTGACGGTACTCGAAAATATGCGAAATAACATTATATTCACACAAAAACTATGTCGATTTTGGTACTGTCACTTTCACATATTTCCTAAATATCCTCTTGTTATTGGCACTGTACAGAGCTTGTTTCGGTTTTATAATAACGATCGAGTTTGTTGTTACGATTTGTGTGTTATGCGATAGATGTTTCTACACATAAACAGTCCCATTGACTGACGACGCGCGTACAAGCAAAGTAAAGAAAGCTGAAAGCAAGCAAGCCAAGCAACACCAACACATGACATGACTTATCAGAATGTTGACAGCTTTGAATAGTCTTATTTTATTATTCTGGTAACACCGCGTTCTGGCTGCGTTCATTTTAACGTTAATAACGGTTTTTCTACACCGTTTTTCGTTGCGTTGAATGTTTATGTTTTATTATTGTTTTATTAACATACTGCAGAAAATATTAGTAGACTACATTTCAAATGATTGATTGTGCAGATTTTTTTTGTCAATACTTGCATGTAAATATATTTTGTTTAGTTTAAATCTGATATTTTAACGATAGAAAAACTCATTTAAACTTTATCGTTTGTTTCAATAACTACTACGTACTTACCCATTTTAACTATAATTTTATTATTAAAAGAAAATGAAACATTCAAGTAAGCTTTGTTTGTACTGCAATGAGGCACCGCGACCTCGGCATAGAGCAGGAGAAGGAACAGGGGAGTTTTTAGTCAGTAAGAGTCTGACACTCCCTCGTGCCCGGCCCTGGGCGGGAGAAGTCATTTGATGATTTTGCCCTAACAAAAAAAAAGGTTTGTTTGTACTGATTCATTTGCACTGTTAAAAGTATGTAGCATTGCTTTTTTAAATTATTCTTCGAATGTCTTTACAAAATGGTACATGTAGGTAACCAAACTATGCTTCAATTTCTTTTGTTGGTAACGTGTTGTGTCAATATCATTCAAAAGGGCAATCGTGTAATAATGGTATTGGGTAGTGTTTTTATTGAAAGTAATCATGATTATTTAATTTTCATTTACCAACTTTGTTTGTTAAATTGTGCCTTCAGAAATTCCCTTATTTGTCAATAGATGGCGCTTTATTTTATTTTACATCTATACTAATATTATAAAGAGGTAAAATTTGTATGTTCGTAAGTTTGTATGTAGGGGGTAATCTTTGGAACCGCTGGTCGGATTTCCAAAAATCTTTCACTGATAGACAGATATAATGTTCCTGAGTGCTATAGGCTATAAAACATCACGCTACGACTAAATGGACCGAGCAGCGGGTGAAACCGCTCGAGAGTTAGTCAATACGGTTGTTTCCAACTAGTCAAATTCAATACTTTTATCCAAATGTCAAAAACGATACTTTTCTATGAAAATTGTATGAAACATTGAATTATGACGTCATAGCATTTTTGCGTCAAATAGCTTACTTATTTTTAAAAAATTAGCTAAAAAATATCTAAAACTTAGTGTATCGATCGATCGATGAATAAAAGTATAGTTATTTTTCAATATTTTATCGTATTAAAACGTCGAATTAATTTATTTTTGACCTAGGAAACTACCCAATTATATTTATATGTATTTCATAAGTTCATTTAGTTTACACTAAGGCGAGTTTCTAGTCAAATAACGAGATTATGGTTATTGTTCCAAGTTGTAAAAGGCACAAGTTGTTTCCTTATGTCGTACCGTCTCAGAATATTCCTCAAATAAGCTCCGATAAAGAAGTACCATTAGAAAAAAACACTTAAATAAAGTTTCTTCCTATGTGGGAAGAGGAGAGAGATCAGCTTTAAAGCAACTAACCCTCTAAGATTTACTCGGTAGTGATAGTTATGTAGGTATTTGTTTACTTTTACGGGTATTCATTCAATAAAACTCTTAAAAACATCGACTATTGACAGCATAATTATTGTCTTAGGGCTGATTTTTCAATGGTTAGATAAAAGTTACCTGTGGAATATCTAATAACGATGCTGTCGTCAGGATGTTTGTATTTAAGACAGTGACAGCAACAATTTTATTCCTCAGATAACATTTATCTGACTATTGAAAAATCAGCCCTTAAATAGCAAAATGCCACTTAAATCTGATTTTTATTTATAATTTATTTTAACGTTATGTTACGTTAATTGTTAGGAAAACTTTCAAAGTGCCGTTCTTAGACAGCTTCACAATTTTGACACTAGAGGCGCTAGTTAGAATGTTTGCACCGCCAACAAAGTATGTCTTAATTGTTTATTTTTTTATGGAATAAGGGGCAAACGACAACAACGGTGGTATGACGCAACACCAGAGGAGTTAATTGCATTGTTGACCTTTTAAGGAGCACGCTTTTATCTTGAAGGTTTGAACAGTAGGGATTCTTAAGAAATAAAACAATTTAAGATCAATTTCGCTGTTTATTTTAATCCATGCTGACGACTATATACTTAATTAATTTCAATGTACCTATATCACACAATGGAAACTTAACGATGATAACCTCGAAGGAAATCAGTCTAAAAGTGTTTTTCTTTAATTGTCGACCTTTATAATGATTACCTTGCGAGTTAGCTTCCACAAAGAAATAATCTCTCTGTCACATTATAAAACAACAACGCTAGCTCCATTATCCACAACTGTCTACTAACTATTAAAAATTTAACGCTCAATAGCTATAAATACAAATATATTATTGCTGTTGCGATTTTATTATCTAATAACTTAATTAAATTTTACATTGATCTCAAAATGAGTATTCGTTTTTACTTAGCTAAATTTAGTCTTATCTAATCTTACCTATAGTAGTATTGCTTGATTTGAGAAAACATTGCTTTCTCGTGAAAATGTCGTAACAAATACATTAGTACAAAGTTAGTGAAGCAACCATTATATGGTGCATTGTAACAATCATTTAGACCCCATCCATTTAGAAAATAATTTGCTAATCTAGCCAAGTTTGAGCATTGAGTTTTGGAAGGTTAACCAACACTTCTGATTTAAGTTTGTCAAAGTTTGTAACACTTATAATAATTATTTAACATGTAAAAATTGTTTGTAGGAAGATCAAATTTATTATAATTTACGTCTAAGGTAAATTATAAAGGGATGTAAGCTACAAACAATTAATGGGAGGGTACAAAGTTACTTAAAACTGTAGTTTGTTCAGAAGTGTCGATATTGTGCACTCAGTTTGCAAAGTATATAGCGGCCCGTTGATGATAAGAAATGAAATCTAGTAAGAGTAAAGAATCTAATTAGAACTTTTATAAAATAACGTTTTGTGGATGAATATGTGAAACCGTTACAAGATAATAGTTTAACGTAGGTCTAAATAAATAACTTATTTTCACCAACGCCAACTAAATGGGGCCTTGATAAATAATTGTGCTTAGTAATTATTATGTATCTAAAACTTATGATTACATTTTAATTTACACAAATCAAAATATACAAAAGGTAAGGTAAGAAACAATTTGATTAAATAAAAAAATAAAGGTAATTAATTAATTAACTAGATCGTAAAATTATTCTAGCTACATACTCAGTAACATTTTACAATGATTTTGTACATAATTCGAAGCTTCATAATTGTAGTGAACATACTAATTTGTATTAAGATTAAATAATGTAAGTATAAGTTAAAGACTATATTTTGTGTATGTATAAATAATAACTGTTTCGCCTACCTAAATCTTTTATTCCCAAAGGCTTTAAGAGTTTATAAATGGGATTCGGGTCATGTAAGCAAATTAGAGCAAGTAAACATTAGACTATCATTAAACAATATTTCGTTACATGCATATTTTTACATAAAAAAAAACAAATTACAAAATGCTTTAAATGCATTAAGGATACTAAAATTAACATAGATCTAAATGTTTTGAAGAAACAAACTTCTCAAAATAATTAGGTAAAATTAATTAAGAAGCAGAGGATATTACTGCATAATATATATAAAACTGTCGCAACAAGAATTATTTCACAACCATTCTCATCAAATCTACCAACCATTTTGTCTAAATTGTGTAATCCTTGGACCAAAGTATAAAGTCAGATAAAAATTCAATATTAATTAGGTAAATTATAATTTTCAGTATATAGCTCAGCAGAGGAGCTGATGGAACACCTGAAGGTAAGTATTCGGCTCCGCCCATAGACATCTGCCCACACTACCCCTGAGGGGTATCCAATATAGGGGTATCCGATCTGACTGACTTCATAAGGTAAGAATAACTTAGATTTTGATTTGAATTTGATTTCAGTGGGACCTGTGTATACATATTTCTAAGTCAAATGTATTGATTTTATTTTGCAATGTTTCTTATAACAACCTAGCTCGATGGGAAAGTGTTTATAAATTGGTCCAAGGATAACAATTTAGGTACTATAATATAGAGCTTCTATACACAAGACATCCAAACATATGTGCCTCCAAGTATCACATTAATCTATTGAAATAATAAAACTGTCTAGTGGAGTCTAAAATGCTTTGTGATGGAATTATAATTTACATAATATTTGTAATTCTGCTTAGTCTCGTAGAGTTGTTCCAGAAAAAATATAATATTTATAGGTACAATTAATAAAAGCTACCATTGTTTGCTTACTAGATGGCACTGATGTAGCAGAAGGTATTTTGTCAAGAGTTCTGGCTGCCCAAAGATTAGTTAGATATTAGCATTAGCTAATGAGGGTTCTTGATAGTTTTTTTGCTACTAGGCCGTGCTTTGCATGCGCCAGGTCCAAACAGATCTCAGATAGATCAGATTTTAGACGAATGTATTATTTTTAGTTAAATTTTAAGATTAAGCTCAAACACGGTCTCTATGTGTGTTCATTGGTACTCATAGGCACTGCACATCACTGATACGTTTAAGGAAACTATTCTGTTTGTAATGTTTTTAAGAATAAATAAACCAGAAATAATCAGATTAATATAAATCAGGTATTTGTTTTGACGACAGGTTGTTGGACCTGACGCTACAGAGCTGCCATCTCACGGAGATACATTTCAGAAAACCCTCATTCGACAAGCACCGTTATCCTGCAATAATGCCAGTTTGCGAGTAAAATAACTAATATGGTAGCCCTTATTGAACCCCTCTAGAGCCATTTGTTAATTATTACAATAGACCCTTTTACAATATTATTAGTTCAGTTATCAAAAATAATTTACCTTGGAGGCAACATAATAAAAAAGAAGAAACCAAGAAATATACGTGCTTTTTGTGCAATCAAGACGACATCTATCATGTCAATTTATTATCTAAAATTGTACATTTAAATATAATGAA